AAGCTTTTTCGAAAAGAAGAAATGAAACGTGCTCCCACCCACCCACTGACAAATGCATGCACTTCCCCTGTATGTATTCCTCTCCAGTTTCTCTCCAAAAGCTCATTCATGCCTTTATCTTCTCTAGATTAGATCACTGCAAGGCCTGCTTGTTGCTCTATCAAGCAGCTCGATTATTAAGGATTCTGCTTGTGCAAAATTTCTGCAGCTGCCAGCGTCGTATTTCATGCAAGAAAGCACAAGGCACAGATAGTCTGTCTCTTTCTTTCTCTCTCTCTCTCTTTCTCCCCCTTCCAATCATTGTACAGGCTTCCTATAAAATAACAGATTGATTTTTAAAAATCTTCTTATTAACCTCAAAGTCTCACCGCAGCCAGAGCACTAGCTCTCAAAACAGCGTGGATTTAATTATAAGACAGGCCTATCCAAAGTCTCTGTGGCCCACAAATTCCCAATTATTTCGTTGTCAAAGTCGTTGTAATTTGAACAGAGGATGACAGGGGGTTCTGGCATCTGCCCCCTCATGGTGCTGTGAGGCGTTTCACTTCTGTCGAAGGGCTTGATAGCTCTGTGTGCCTCCTCATGAATATAATTTTGGAGCTGTTGCTCACAACGGCATCACCAGGCTGGTCTTGTTCAACTCTCTTTACAGCTGTCAGGATCCTGGGTTGACTTATTGTTGCAGTGTTAACCAAAGGGGGCAACTGCAGACTTGGGTGTTATTTAATGTTAGGGTAGGTGTGTGTGTGTGTGTGTGTGTGTGTGTGTGTGTGTGTGTGTGTCCCTTCTGATGTTGTTAGGCTGCAGCTCCCATCATCCCCAGCCAACTTATAGCCAATTGTGAGGGATGATGGGCTTTGCAGTTTACCAAGAGCTAGTGGACAACACATTCCCCATCCTTGAGTCCTTCCAAGATGTGTGTTTGTACAGGGAGATATAGTCCTTCATGTAGCCTGGACCCATGCCGTATAGGGCTTCATGGGTCAAAACCAGCACTTTGATGGTGATGTCCCTTGCAGTCACATGTGATAACCTACAATGGCCAGTGAGTGAGATATGCTCTCAGAGTCCTAGGGGTTCTCTCCTTCTCTGTTTTAAATCCCAAACAACCATTTTTCAGAACCTGAAGTGTTGAAAACTTTTGCCCATTTCCTCTTTCTTTCTTTCTTTCTTTCTTTCTTTCTTTCTTTCTTTCTTTCACATTTTAGTGCAACCCCCACTGATTTCTATAAGGAGAGATTGCCTGTCTGACCCCTGAAGTTGCCCACTCCATCTGTATCTTCAAGTTACACTTATGTCCTTTCCCTTTCAGAAAAGGAAGGCCTGTCTATAATATTGCTTTGCCCTAGCCTTTTTCCCTATGATTTGTGTACAAGAGCCAAGGAACCCGTGTTTCCTGCTCCCTACCTAAGAAGCCTTTTCGTCTTCTTTCCAGAGCATTTCCTCGCTCTGCATAGTGATGGACTTAAAAGAGCAAATCCCACAAGGGCTCATAGAGAATACATTTGGAGACTCTGCGAGAGCATGTCTCGCTTTCATGCTGCTGCCCACTGCATAATAATAGTCCTATCTCTGCACCATGACCAAGCAGGGAATGCATTAGGAATATTGGGCAGAGACATCCCCCCATGGTGCATCTGCATTGGAGTTGGGACTAGAATATGAAATATGAAGACTTCTCCTCCCCTGACTGTCAGGGATTTGGCACAGATGAGCAGTGAAAGGCTCAGTGTCTTCAGCTGTGTCTGCCTTTGCGGGCATCCATCCAGCCATCAGTTTCATACCCAAAGCATGACTGCATTGAACTGAAGCTGCCTAATGCTATGTGCATAACATAAGCAGCTTGCCCATCCAGCTCTGAACCAAACTTGTCCAGGCCTCTTGTACAATATTGCTGTTAAGACATGTCAGATCTAGGGAGCTGTCCAGTGCTGATCCCAGAGCTGTTTCCAAAACTTGGGGATGCAAACAGATGCCTTCTCCTTCCAGAGCAGAGAGAAGGATTCCAGTGGGAAGAAAGACTCCAGAAGAGCCAAAAGCTCTTGGATAGATATATAAATAATATCCATTAATATTCACATCCTCCCCTGAAAAAAAAAAAAAGATTTCAGATACATGTAATATCTCACTTGACACGATACCAATGAGATTCTTTGCACTTTGGGACTCTTTTTCAAGGAAATTATTTTCTGCAGAAATGTAGCACTTTTCCTACACAGACAAACGTGGGTGTTGTGCAGAAATCTGGTCTGGAATTCATGAGTGAGTTATGCATCTGTAAATGAGTTACATTCATGATCATTATGTATTCAATAGTGTAGGGAATATGCAGGGATCATAAAAGTCTCCTGTTGTTGTTGTTGTTGTGTTGTTGTTGTTGTTAACTGCCTTTGAGTCAACCCTGATTCATGGTGACCCTGTGGATGAGACATCTCAAAAACTCCTTGTCCTCTACTTCTCTGCTTAGTTCCTGTGTTTCATACCTGTGACCTCCTTAATGGAGTCCATCCATCTGGCATGTGGCCTTCTTCTCTTTCTACATCCCTCCAGCTTTCCTAGCATTATTATCTTTTCCAGTGAGTAGTGCCTTCTCATGATGTGGCCAAAGTACTGGACATCAAGTGCTTTGAACAACAGGTGTCTATGTTCCTATCAATTGGGATGCAGCAGACTGATCTTTCCTCTCCTCTCCCATGAGAGATCTTTGTTGTGAGGAGGAAGTGCAACAGGGATCCTCCTTCTGCAACAGGGATCTCACACCAGAGATCACTTGCAAAAAAGTGTGGAAATGTCTGTCTGCTGCATCTTGATTGACAAAGGAACAGACCCCCATTGCTCAAAGTGTTGCTGCTCAGTAACTCAGGGTTGCGGGGATTGGGCCAGGAGAGGCTACTATGGTCCAAAACACACTGCAGAAACAATCCAGTTTGAGACCACTTTAACTGCCCTGGCTCAATGCTAGGAAATTCTGGGAACTGTTGTTTTGTGAGATATTTAGCCTTCTTTGTCAGGGAGCTCTGGTGCCACAATAAACTACAATTCCCAGGATTCCCTAGCACCGAACCAGGGGCATTTAAAGCAGTCTTGAACTGGATTATTTCTACAGTGTATTTTGGACCTATGTTTAATTATGTAGGTGATCAAGATTCTCAATCCTTATTTTCTGTGCATAGGAAATAGTGCATTTTGCACAAAGGTTTTCTGCTGTTTTCTGCAAAGGAGAAGCACTGTGTATCTTTACAGTTGCCCACAAAAAAACCCAAAGTGGAAACAGTGGTCAAAAAGTTGCACAGAGATTCTCATATTCGATGTTTAAAAAAACCCTACTAAAATGATTTGTTCTAGCATGTGAGAATGAAATGAGCAAAGATTTGCCTCTCGGTTCTTGGACAAACAGTACAGTTCAGCAGGACCGAGCTTCTCTCTATGGGTCTATGGTCTGGGCTAGCACAGAGAGTTTAGGTCCCAGGAGTTTATGAGACACAGCCAAAGCAGTTGAAGTGGAATCATGGTTGTGTGTACTTGTTTTCAATTTGCCTGTCAACTTATGGTGACACCATGAACATCATAGATTTTTTTGGGTTTCCCATCTAGATCCTGCTTAGTTTCCAAGATTGGACTGGATCAAATGCCTGCAGGGTATTTAGGCCCTGAAGTGGAATCATAATGCTATAATTATATAGTTTGAAAGGGTCCCTGGAGTGAGGGGGTATGGCATAGAGAAATGGAGCATGGTCTGGGAGAGGATCTAGCAGTCCAGATGAAAGGCCTGGAGGTCCACCTTTGGCCCCTGAGGTAGAGTTTCTGCATTTCTGGATTAGAGTAATAAGGAATGCATCTTCCTCCTTTCCTAACATTTTGAGCTGAATGGACTGTTCCAGGAAAGAATACTAGTGGTGAGTATTGTATTGCCTGAAGGTAAGAAGAATGTTTCCATCAGAAGAAATAGAGGATGCATCATCTTTGAGGCAGTGACCTAAGCAGCCCTCTCTAAGGTGTCATTACACAGTAATCATTGGCATATTATGGAAGTCGGCTGTATCAATTACCAACTAAGATAGTGCTTCATCCCTGCTAATGAGGCACCAAGCCTCCATCATATTCTGTAGTCATGCAGAAAAATGAGCTAACTGATATGCCTAGGCAGACTATCAAGAGACTTCCAGATAGAGTAGAGAGATTAATGTGAAATGCAAAGTTGGAATGAGCACTTGCCAAACATAGGTAAAGGAATAAGGATTTATCTAAGCAGGTCAAAAACAAGGTGTCTGCTTCAGAAGATAATGCAGATAAATGAGGAGACAAGGGACAATGGCGAAGGATCAGCATTGCTGCAGAGAGCATGTTCACCATGTTATGTGTCCTAGGCTATTCATAGCAGTAAATGCTCATATTAAAGGATTGATCACTAATGGAACATAGCCATGCGTTAAGAGCACATAGTATTACTGACACAGCAACAGATCCCTTCAGATGAGCATGCCAGGATATGTTTCTGAAAGGCCCACTGGTTTCCTCAAGCCATCTGGTGATGTTATATTTGCAAAACAGTAGAGTTTTGAAAAGTTCCTTTTTTGACTACAGATATCAGATGCCAGAGTCTCCCATCCAGCATGGACACTGACCATGCTAGCTGGAGAATTTTGGAAGCTGTATTCCAAAACAGTAACTTTTCCAAGTTTTGGTAAATGGACAGGGATGGTGGAAATCTTTTGACTACCTCAAGTGAAGGTCAAGATGCCTCCTTTCACAGTTCATTCTTACTTTGACAATGGTCAGGGCTGGTTCTGTCAGTAGAAAGAATGTGGCAGCAGCTTCATTGGGTGAATTTGGTTGTCATGAAATGGCATCAGTTGATTAGTTATTAGTTAGATATAAGTAATTTAAGATATTGCTGTTGAATCCTCTATCATCATCATCATTACCATCATCATCATCATCCTTACCATCACTGGCCTGAGTTTCTAGCCTATGAAAGTAAAAATATCATTAAACTAAGAGCCAAGTGTGGTGTAATGGCTTGAACATTGGACTATGATTCTGGACTCCTGGGTTCAAATCCCAGCTCAGCCATGGAAACCCACTCTCTCAGCCTCAGAGGATAGCAATGGCAAACCTCCCTCTGAAGAAACTTGCCATGAAAACTCTTTGATAGAGTCATCATAAGTTGGAAATGACTTGAAGGCATACAACATACAACAATCATTAAACTACCAATAACATTAAAAGTAATTTAGAAGTCTACCCATTAAAAAGAAAAACAATTAAAAATAGATAATGCAGTGCTTTACAGCAACAATCAGTCCTCATAGGCATGCAGAGAGAAAAAGTCTTCACCTGCCTATGGAAAAATAGGAAGGAGGGCACCAGACTAGCATCTGTAGGAGTTCTAGGAAAGGAGGTCCAGAGAATGGTGGCAGCAGCCATGGAGAAGGCCTTCTCTCATCAAATGTGCTTGTGAGGGTAATGAAACCAAAAATAGGGCTTCCCCTGAAGATCACAAAACACAGACAGGCTCATGCAGAAGGATATGGTCCTTCAAATAAGCTGGAGCCCATCTATGTAGAATCATCAAATCAGAGTGAGATTGGGCCTTATCATGGGCCAATTCTCTGCTCTATGCAGGAGATCCAGCAAGAGCATCCCCAGCAGGTAGCTGTCCATCCTCATTTTAAAGCTGTCCAGAGAAAGGGAGCTTGCAAACTGATTCAAAAGTTCCAGATTTTGTTCCTGTTCTTCCTAAAAATAAACCAGCTTAGGGAGCAGGTATGAAAACTCTTTGATTATACTGAGAGCTAAGAGAAAATATTCTGGGATAAACAAAACATGCTTATATCTCCAAATACAATTGGAAAGAACAGGAAAAAATCTGGGACTCTCTGGCCTTTTTACTCAGTCTGGATGGGCCCAAAGGGATGGCACCACTTCTCTAGGCAATTAGTTACATTGTCATTACATTACTGTCAAGAAGTTCCTTCTAATGTTCAATTGAAATCTACTCTCTTGTAAATTAAAACCTGGTACTACCCTCTGGGGCAGCAGAGAAAAAAACTACAGCTCTTCTTTGTGACAGCACTTTAGTTATGTAAAGAGGGCAATCATGTCATCCCTCAGTCTTGTCTTCACCAGATGAACATGACTCCCTCAATCTTTACTTGTTACTTCCATTTCCATACACAAAGGGCTTTGAATTTGAATTGACATTCTCACATACTAATGGCGTATACATGTCTGTTCCTGGTTTCCACTCCACTATATGTATCTGAGGAAGTAGTCTGAAGTCTACGAAAGCTCATGCTGCCAACTTCTTTCTTTAGTTAGTCTCAAAGATGTTACAAGATCTCTCTACAAACTGATTCTACAGACTAACATCTTTGAATTCAATCTTTACTCATATGTTTTGTTCTCTGTGCCTCTTATCATCCTTGATGTCATTCTCTGAACCTGCTCTAACTTGTCTATTGCCTTGTGTGCCTTCAAATCATTTCTGACTTATGGTGACCCAAGGGGTTTTCTTGGCAAGTTTCTTCAAAGAGGATTTGCCATTTCCATCTTCTGAAACTGAGAGAGTATGATGTGCCCAGAGTCACTCAGTGGGTTTCAATGGCTGAGCCAGAATTCAAACCCTGATCGCCAGAATCTAGCCTGACACTTAAACTACTACATCATGCTGGCTCTCTTGTTTACTTTATTCCCAACTTTATCCAGACCCCAGGAACACATTCTTGGGATAGATTTTGGCTTCCTTACACGGTGAGACTCTGCTTGCTACTATCAGGCTGTGCTCCATATGTTACACATAAAACAGCCTTATTTGCTAAAGCTGCTAACAGTTTTTGTGCGAGTTATTTGAACGATAATGCAGGGGATTAATTAATTTGATGTTTTGTATGGAGGTACATGTAAATGCATGTATGTATTCTTCTATTAGATTTCATTGGGTTTGTAATGCAATAAATAAATGACAAATTAAATAAAAACAACAAAACGTACAGGGAGGGTGGTAAGGGGAAGTGGGCTGCAAGGTGCTGGGAAACAGTTTGATGTTCCCAGGAGGAACAAAGAAAGAATATCTCCTCTCAGGTATGCCCAGAAGGACGCAGCCCCAAGTAAGTCAACTCAAGATCTGATTGTCTAGCCAGCCAGATTTTCTCCCATGCCAGTGGTCTATAGAGACACTGCTGCCTTCCTCCATGCCCCCACTTGGGTGCAAGCATGGGCAGCTAGCCCTTGTGTAGCCTGTAAAAACAAGTGGCATTTAAGCCAAGGCTGGAGATTTCCTATAGGTAGCATACGCTTTCATTTGTGAATGAAAAGGTGGCACACTGATGCTTTGTGACTCCACTGAGATTGGATCACAGCTGTCAAATGTGAAAGCATCCTAACTCTGTCTAATGCTTTCTTCTGGTCATTTGAATATTATTCTTCTATTGCTACAGCCATCAGACCCACAGGACGCCAGCATTCACCACAGTTAGGTGTTTCTTAGCATGCAATTCGGAGAGAGATGCTCAAGATTGTTTAAAAATAGGCACACCATGTCACACTCCTCATTTACAACAGTGCATTTCTCAAGAGGTTGCTGTAACCAGCTAGATGTCTGGGACAAACCCAGCAATGTTGCACATATTGTATAGGAGGGACATTGTGAACAGGCGAGTGTAGTGTAACTGTTCTCTTGTTTAGCCAACCACTTGTTAATAGGCCAGAGGAACTAGTTGATATATCCTCAAAGGGAGCGAGTTGCAAGGAAATGTTTAGGAGTTGCATACCCTCCAATTTGACATTGACAGTCCTAATTATAGCATTTAGCAATAGCATTTACATTGCTGTACCACTTAATAGTGAACTCAGCACTCGCTAAGCAGTTTACAATCTATAAGCCAATTGCCCCCAACAAGCTGGGTACTCATTTTACTGACGTGTGAAAGGATGGAAGGCTGAGTGGACCTTGGAGCCATGGAATCGAACTCACAACCTTGTGGTTGGAGTATCATCATGTAACCACTGCTCCACCAGGGCTCCTAATTATTATTATCCCTGTCATCCCATTTTTCCAGCTATTTTTGAAACCTCCTAGTTTCCCTTTCCTCCTCCCACTTTGTCCTCAGCTTACTCCAATTGCTGTGAACGGAATCCAAAGCACAGAAGTAATTTGCACTCAATTAATTCAGCAGGGAGAGAGGACAAGAGGAGGAAGAAACCTGCTCATGTAGACTCAGGCAAAAGCAAACCACTGCAGCCTCGCCTACCTCATGTGTTCTTCCTCATTAATAACGTTTGCAATCTTGATTACATTTTGATGTCACTCGGCCACATGTGTCCTGGTTTTCATCTGTGGAATCATAGAATCATACAATCATAGATTTAGAAGAGACCACAAGGACCATCCAGTCCAGCCCCAGGCCATATAGGAACACAATCAAAGCACTTCCAAAAGATGGATGTCCATCCTCTGATTCAAAACCTCCAAAGAAGGAGACTCCACCACTCTCCAAGGCAGTGTGTTCCACTGTCAAACAGCTCTTACTGTCTGGAAGTTTGTCTCTCAACAGGGTCATGAAACAGTATGCAAAGCTTGTGTGATATGTTGTGATGTGATCTATGTGTATGTGGACCACCAGCAGCAGCAGAATGGGACCTCTTGCCATTGAAGCCTTTGGAACATTTGCTGCAACTCCACCATTGATAATCTAGCCCTGGCAGCAGGACAGTTTTGCCTGAAACCTGGCCAAAAATAGCATCCAGGAGTGTTTGGAAGTCTATTTATACTTTTGACTCAGGGTGTCAGTCCTCAACTGTTTTGTTCTCCCATGCGAAGGTAAATAATTAAAGTAGTTTTCTCCCTGCTCTGGGAGAAAATGAGTATTCGTCCACAATATTCTCCTTGCATTCAACCACCCTGAAGTGTTGTACAGGAATTGTTCAGTGGAGAAAATCACACATTTGTTTTTAACGCAACCCACCTCCGCTCTGACATTTTTCTCTGCAGAATAATCCCTGAGCAACATTTTGAGATATTGACTACCAGGAAAAACATGTCCAAAATTCTTGTTAGCTTAGGCATGTTTACAGGTGAAGCACCATGTCAGGGATATTGATTGATAGGTTGATTGATTGCTGTATTTTCACCCTCCAGATTTTAATTTGAAGGGGTTTGGAGAGGCTGGAGACTTAAAAGTGTAGTCTGAAGACCCCACCACTATGCTTGAACTGCTTTAAACAGAACAGCTTGTCAGAACCAATGAACCTGTTGTTTAGGGAATTCTGGCTGCTGTAGTACAAAACAGTACTTTTACCAAGCTTTGTTTACAATACATACAGTGAGCTTTGGGATGAAAGACCTCTCCCTGGAGAATGATGTAGGGCAGTGTTACTCAAAATGGTGATCCATGGACTGGTGCCCCAGTCCCTGGAGAGTTTCAAACAAGAAAAAAAAAAAAAAAGAGAGAGTGGTAACCAATGGGCACATATATGGCACCTTGCAATCGTAGGGGTAAACTGCTAGTCCTTCTATCAAAGAGCTTATGAATCATTGATATAAGGTGTTGGCTTTGCTACTTTATAGGGATGTATATGCTGTTTCCCTCCATGCTTCACTAGCAGAGTGTAAAAGTTCCACTTTGGGTGTGTCTACACTGTAGAGATACTACAGTTAGACACTACTTTAGGTGATGTAATCCCATCCTATGGAATCCTGGGATTTTGTAGTTCTATAAGGTCTTTAGCCTTCTCTGCCAAAGAGTGCTGATGCTTCACAAAACTACAAATCCCAGGATTCTGTAGGATGGAGTCATGGCAGTTAAAGTGGTGTCAAATGGCATTAATTCCACAGTGTAGATGCACCCTATGTGTAACTGAGAAAGCTGTAGTCTCTCCTTCAAGACAAGAAAACTTGGATCTTGCTGGAGGCTGCAAGTGTCTTGGTGCTTATTCATTATTCATTATTTATTATTTTACTGCCCTATAGCCATGGGTCTCAAGACAATAGAATCAATTTAGGATAATAAATAACAATAATTTTAAAAGATTATAAATATATTAAATGATTTATCAATTAAAAGCAGACAGTTTCAAACTAGTTGAAGCCATTTAGAATACTACTGGCTATAGCATCTGTGTAAACTGGATAAAACCAATTAGGATCCAAAGACCCTAATAAAAAGCCATGATTTGACTTGATGCCAGAATGAAAATGTGGTGTCAACCAAATGGTGTCCACCCTACAATGGGGAGAATATTTCATAACTGAGATGCCACAACAGAGACAATATGAGGATGGTCATGGCTTGGTGCTGAATTTGGCCCTTCTAGGGTCCCAATCTGGTTCTTTGGCACTGTCCTTACGGCCATGCCTTTTCCTCCATGGCATCATCATTAGATGGTTTGCCAACTTTTATATGGGCTATTCCCCCATTTAAAAATAGTTGAAACATCTCTCCTAAGTCTATGTTATTGGCAGTAAAGACTTTAAGCAAAATTGTGCTGGTTAGTTTGGCTCTACCCCTTCCTCTTTGGCCCAGCTAACCACTGGAGTGTCCAATATCTTCCTTATAATTAAATTAATTTGGAATTAAATTCACTCCTTTCGAACAACAACAACAAATCCCAGCCCTGGCTTAGGGAACTAGCAATTGAGGGCTCCAAAATCAGTGTTGTGGCAAATCCAATCTGGGTTTAATTCTAAACTTTAAGGAGTTCTAAGGCCCAAAGTGGATGTACTGCACTTGGCATTGGAGCTCACAGTGGCCACTGGCATGAGAGTGAAAGAGAGAGATTGAAACCACCCTTCCTTAAATGTAAGTGGGACTGCCTTGAGTTCAAGCATATCTAGGTATAAGCTATTATTATGTAAAGCAGGAGCCAGTTTATGGAAATATTAAACCTGAGAAGGTGGGACTGATGTCTATATATGATTCAGACAGTCATTCAAGGATCTTTTGTCCATTAATCATATGATATCATATAATAATTTCCCTACTGCAAATGTTAACTTGAAGATTTCTGGAACATTTTAGGCCAAGGCACATCATCGCTTGAAATCTGCATTTTAGGCCTTCTGCATTGGAAAGGTGTGGATTGGAAAGGACTGGATTGTGATTCCTGTCATTGGATAATAGATGGAGAGAGTTAATGATTTAATGGACGTTATCACACGGGGAGTCATGGGAAGAAAGTGGAAATAAACTGGACGAGCAGAAGACTTTAATTTACGGGATTTGTCCTGTTCTGCCTCGTCTGATAACTAAATTCGAATTTAAAAGGGGGTTAATTCGAACAAAAACCTGATCTTTTCATTTCCTCAAAAATCCCGAAAATGAACCTAGATTTTCATAGAGAAAACACTTCTCTAGGCATCTGCAGATCCTCCAGCATGAGTCTATGATCCACATCTGGCAGATATTGACCATAGAGTTTCACTAGAGAACCTGGAGATTCCTATAGGTGTTAACTAAAAAGAATAATGTTGTTTTTTTATTTGCCATTTTTCCACATTCACACGTGTCCTTCACCCCTAAGCCCAGCGAATGTGGAAGGACCACTGTAATATAGAATCTTAACAAATCAAATTTCAAACGTCTTCCAAAAATTAAACAAAATCATAAGACATGGTTCTCGGCTTAATACAATTCTCTTGTTTCCTATATATTTAGAAATTGTCATAAGAAGAAAAAAATGAAGGCAAAGCATCACATTGGTTCAGTCAAACAGTTTTTTTAAAGGCTGTTAAAATACTGTAATAATGGAATAAACTGTCTCAAATGTGCTACTAGATTCTTCTTCATATCGTCTCCTTTTTATGATATAGAATGACTAAAAGTTATCCACTGCAGTGATAAAATTTGTGCATGCCAAGTTTTTCTACTTAACTGGCTTTTTCTTTGTTTGTTTTGGTACTGGGGGGGGGGGAACCTCACATCTACGAATACATCAGACATTGCCAGCAGGTATGTAGGAGCAGTGAAACTCACTTTATAATCCTTCTTGCAAATTGGTGTTTTGAGCCACCTACACAATAGGCACATGAACACACAGCCATGCATCAAAGGCCAAAAGCCCAGCATGCCCCCTCTTTTTCTTATCTGTTATCTGAATGCTGCACAAATGTGGATTCTAATTTTTTCTTTCAGAGCAGGGCAGACATCCATTTGATGGTTGCCTTCACTTCTCACTGAACTGCTTGAGGAGTTCAGTCCTCTTGAAAGGCTTGGCAGTCTTCCCCTCCAAAGAAAACCCCAGGGGTCCTTTTTATCCAAGTGTATGTTCATCTTTTGAAGTTGGCAAGAGAAGACACACCATCACAAACTTGCAGATAGCACCCTCTTGAGAATAGGAAGTGCCATTTTGGCTACATAAGGACCGATATATGGAGTACTGAGTTTACTGTTAGTATATATGATGAATGGAAAGTCATATTTTCTGAGTTGCTGGTCATGACCCCATAAAGTCCCATATGGTCTGAGATTAAGGCATCTAAATGGCTCCCTTTTCTTATGTTATCTTGCTATCCACTGATATTACCAGAAGAAGACCTATTTCGTGGCAAAGGTATAGGGCCATGTGAAGTCGAAGGCTTTCATGGCCAGCATCCATAGTTTTTTTGTGGGTTTTTTGGGCTATGTGGCCATGTTCTAGAAGAGTTTCTTTCTGATGTTTCACCAGCATCTGTGGCTGGCATCTTCAGAGAATAATGGAATGGAAGAGAGTGGGTATAGATATACTGTGAGACCCTGGGTAGGGAGGAGTGATTCCCATGTAAACTGTGTATTGTTCTGTTGTTGATGGCAGGGCCTCAGGGTGGGAGGATATGCAAACAAGGATTAGTGACTGCTAATTGGTGATCACTGTCTGCAGAGAAAGCCCCTGACCCTGGGTGGTTTCCCATTTGTATTTTCTGAGTGCTGATTTTTCTATTTTGCAGGACTGGTAGCCAACCCTAGTTTACTTTAAGGGTTTCTTCATAAAATGCTGTTTGAAAACACAGAAATTCTGGACCATGCCAACAACTATCAGGTCAGAATGCACAGGGAAGCCATTGAAATCCACAAACACTTGGACAACTTCAACAGGAAAGAAAAAACACTTAAAGTAAACAAGGTCTCTGATTCCGAATGAGTCTTGTTCTCCTGTTTCTCCTGGGATTTTATTGCTGCAGTGTTGCATTTTTTTTTCTCAGCTGCCTGCAAAAACTATTTGCATGTTGTTTATATTGCATTTCATTTTTTTTAAAAAAAAGATACAACCCCCCCCCCCCATCACATTGAAGGCCAATTTGGCAGTAGAGCAATTTGCAAATATGAAAAATAGATAGCATGGATGATGATCTATTTTTCATCATTCTAAATTCCCTGCTCAGTCATGGAAACCCACTGGATGACCTTGGGCAAACCACACACTCTCAGCCCCAGAAAACTGCATGGTAGTTTTACCTTCAGTTGGAAATGACATGAAGGCGGACAACAACAATGGATGGCAAAGACAACAACATGATATAGGGCTATACTACTACATGCCCCCTAACTATCCCAGTTGATCAGCAACAGTCCGATTTACTCCTGTCATTCCAATTTTCAGTTTTGGTGCAATGGTTAAATGCCTGTACTGCAGCCACTCACTCACAGCCATAAGGCTGTGAGTTTGATACCAGCCAGGGGCTCAGGGTTGATTCAGCCTGGTGTCCTTCAGAGGTCGCTAAAATGAGTACCCTGCTTGTTGAGGACAATTAGCTTACACATTGTAAACTGCTTAGGAAGTGCTTAAGTGCACTGATAAGTGGTATAGAAATGTACTTGCTATTGCTATTGCTATCTCCTTTTCCCATCTTCCCTCTTGTCCTTGGCTTACTTCAATTACTACAAATAATTGCAAGTGCAAATGCAGTTTTTGGTCAGTTAATTCAATGGGGAGGAGAGGTGAAATGTTGCCCTTCCCAGTAGGATCATGCAAAAGCAAATGTTGCAATCTTTCCTATCTTGTGCATTCTTTCTCATTAATAACTTTTGCCATCTTGACCACACTCTGATGCATCCCAGTTTTCAACTGTGAAATGTTGTATAATATGCATTATATTGGCATATCATTCTACTACCTTTCAGGGCTGTTGTGAGGATAGAAATAGGGAAGAGGACATGTAGGCTACTTTAATTTCCTTGCAGGATAAGTGGGATTTACCTGTTGTTCCTGATAACAAAACAAGCAATAACAACAATAGCAGCCATTTATGAATATTCTATCACTCTATTATATAAGCACGGCATAGTAAAGGTGAGGGGTTATTTAATTTGAGAACAGAGAAAATAAAAACAAGGATCCTTCAACATAGATTGTAATCAATTTTTTATACTTCACTTGATACTTTCTATTCTCGGGATCTCGAGAAACACTGCCAGCATTAATTAATTCTCTCAAAATCCTCACGGCTGTGAGAACATAAAGCATTATCTGCATTTTACAGGAGCTGAAAGAGGGCAGCCGGGTCACCCAGGAAATCAGGAATAAAAGCTAATTTGATGTACTAGACTTCAGTTGCTTTTCATATTTGCTAAAACCCTCTCCAGAGAAATGTCAGCAGAGGCCATGTTGACATTAGTGAGTCAGCTCCCCATGTTATCGAAAAAACTGAAAAGAACCAAAGGTAATCAAAAGAATTGTTCCCACTGTGATAGGCTGCAGATGAAAGAAATGTTAAAAATACTCATAGCCCTACAACGCTGTTGCCCAAATAAAGCATTTTCTCTGTTATGTGTGCTTCTTTTAAATGTGTTTACATAGTGGCAGTTATCAGACAGAACTGTAGGGCAAAACACAGAAACCCAGGAGCTCAATCTGAAAGAGCATCATTATATTGCTTCATTACAAGAGGTCCAAAATACAGTCACCAACATCACTGTGCTCAGTCTGGGAAAGATTGTCAGTCAGTATTAGCTACTGGTGGACATGACCATTGTTGTGTTCCTTCAAGTCATTTCTGACTTATGCCTACCTTGAGACAAACCTATCACAAGGGTTTCTTGCCAATATTTGTTCAGAGAGGGCTTGCCATTGCTAAAGCTGAAAGATTGGGTTTCCACAGCCAAGCAAGGATTCCAACCCTGATCTTCAGAGTTATAGTCTAGTGCTAAAACCACTACACCATACTGGCTCTCTCTGGACATGCTCAGAAGGTCATTTTCAGCTGTACTGAGACCCTGATTTTCAGCTACTATACATGATGTTTGGTCTCTCCAGGTTATTACCAAGAGGAATTAGGGTCTCCTGGGGTCTTAAACAGCAAAACTTTAGGTTTTTGTGGGTTTTTCAGGCTGTGTGGCCATGTTCTAGAAGAGTTTCTTTTTGACGTTTCGCCAGCATCTGTGGCTGGCATCTGCCAGCCACAGATTATGGCGAAACATCAGAAAGGAACTCTTCTAGAACATGGCCACACAGCCCGAAAAACCTGCAAAAACCTATGGATGCCGGCCATGAAAGCCTATGACTTCATAGCAAAGCCTTAATTTGGTCTCAGACGTGGGTCTCTTTTTAGTAGATTTTTTAGGAGGGTACTAGGGCCAAGGGCCACAACAGACCCTTCAAAGGGCTGCATGTGCTTAGCTGGCCATAGAAATAGGATATTTTAGACAATACTGTGCTAGATACAGCAATAGTCTAATTCAGTGATTCCAAAACTCTGGTCCTCCAGGTGTTTTGGACTTCATCTCCCAGAAGCCTTGGCTGTCTTGCTGAATGGCCTGGGATTCTAGAGCTGAAGTCCAATATGCTACAGTTTGGGAATCACTGGTCAAACTCATTAATAAGCCCACTCCGTGTTTGTCTATATCTCCTGTTCTTTTTCCATATGGGTATCCATTTTAGAAGGAACATAATATACAGTTCATGTCAGCTGAAGGATTTTATTTTAGATAATGACCAGGATACAGACCATCACTTCAGACCAGTGAAAATTCCCTTATGTTGCTAAAGAAGTCCCCCTTTTGCACACACCATGTTTTGTTTTTTTAAAATGTAAGTATAGAAGAAAAACTGTTCCAGCAGATCCTTCTGGCACATGCTCTGATTATTTTAATGCAGAGAAAAAGCAGTTGACATCTCTGTCGGCACTATCATATTGAGTGACATCTAATCAATAGGCAAGACTATTAATAGTCATTTGTTTCAATGACTTGAAAGATGAAAATGCAGCCCCAAATAAAGGAGACCATAACAAATGCCAGGACCAAACCCTGTGGGGATTAATTGTCTTGAACAAGATTTAGTGCTCTCACTTAACCACTGGAGGTACATCTAATGCTGTATCATTTTGGTACAAATCAGCATGTTGAACTGTAGTGATGTATCATTTCAATACAACTGTTGGCCTCAGAAAGGAAGGTATGTAACAAAGCAAAGGAGCTTGAAGGGGATACAACATAGAAATCTGCTTGCTAAACATTAGCATTTGCTAAGAGGTTGCAAATAACTCTTGTAATGAGATCGGAAAAGGTCAATATGAGCGAATCCAAAAAAGTGGGGAAAGTAGTCAGAGATTACAATGCACTGATGGAAAGAGACTTTAGTTGTAAAATATACAGCTGAGAAAAGATGGAGCAATGGGGGCTGGGATGTATAAAGTCAAGCTAGTAGTCATATGAAATGTGCTAAGCGAATTTAAAATAGATAATGAAGTGAAGGCTGCAGAAAGTAATAATAATAATATGCCAAAGTGTATTAAGAAGAAAAGATTTGTGGAATTAAAAGATGTGTGCCAGGCTTTTCTATGAGTTCATTTCATTGAAAGGAATAATTTCCTTGCCAGGTTGGCACGAGAGCAAAAGTTTAATAATTGCTTACTTTGAAGAATATGAGCGAAGAGCCTTAATAAGAAACTGGAAGTTGATAAGGGTGGTGGTGGTGAACCATGAGATAGAACTTGTGGAAGAATGGGCACAGGAAAAAGGGGGACACATCAAGGCGGTGGGAGCAGATAAAAGGACACCAAAGAAACTGCAACTGGAAGAGGCCTATATCCTTTAGAAAAAGCTTTGCATGACAGGGATGAAGAACCATGGAATTTTTTTGTTTTCAAACTCCAGCATGGCCAGTGGTAGAGGATGATGGAAGCCATAACCTCAAGTATCTGGTGGTCAAAAGTGTTAGGGACCAAAGACCCTACTGTAAGAGAACTAATGTTTATGTATTAAAAACTTCCTCCCCATTTTACAGATGGAAATTCCTTTCCATGAGTCTATTATTGTTAATATTAGCAAGGGATTTCCTCAAGCTTTTGTTAAAATAAGTTGGATAGCTGTCCCCATAGTAATGAAAGGTCATAGAATAGGCCAGGCTCACCATAGCGAGACACATGGGGTATCTGGTTTCTGGAGAAGTGGTCATTCTGATTGCTGGGAGATCAGCAATCCTAAAAGTAAGCTTTCTCAAAATGGCATGTTCTATATCCCCATCTTTTCCAAACAGTGAGAAATTGCTATGCCAGAGACTGGAGAAAACACTGGAATCCCTGATACACCACACAGCTTCCCAACTGAGAGGGGTTTGAGGATGGAAAGGGGTCTCCACCAGATCTTGCACAGACCAGATTCAAATCATATGAGCATACCCTCCAGGATTTCACAGATGAAAACCAGGACACACATGGCAAAGCAACATTAGAGTGGTCAAGATAGCAAACATTATTAATGAGGAAGAACACACATGCCAGGAGAGGCTGCAGTAGACTGTTTTTCCTGAGCCTACTAAGCAGGGTCAGTCCTGGTTAGTACTTTGTTCTGAAATAGCCAAGAAACACAGGTGCTGTTGGCTATATTTCAGAAGAAGGAACTGTCAAAACCACCTCTGAGTATTCCTTGCATACGAAAACCCTAAGAAATTAATGGGGTCACCATAAGTCAACAGATGACTTCAAGGCATGTTGCACACACTGTGAAGGGCAAGATTTCTCCCCACCTCCCCTTTCCCCTCTTTTGAGTTAATTGGCTGCAAACTACTTTTGCACCTTGAACTACTCGGCAGACAGCTAATAGAGCTGTCCTCGAGGCAAGGAAGGGGAGGGGCAGCCGCACGCACGGCCGGCGCTCTGCGGGCAACCTCCTGCCGCAGTGTTCGGACACGCTGTGGCGGAAAAGTCAGCGAAAGTGCGCCACAAGCTTTT